ACCAAAGTGGCCGCGCCCTCTGCGCCTTGCGCTGTCCGTGGTCCTGACAGGATACCCTTCTTCCTCCGCTACCCATAATTCTGCAAGTAAGGCAATAGAATTGCTTCTTCCCTCCCTAAAAAAATCCAGGGTATTAGGTAATTTACAAATTAAAAATTGAGATTCGTAAAGATTGTAAACATCTAAACGGAGTTTTACTGAAACCGTACACTCTGTTATGACGATCAGTTGATTTGAGCTGAAACCTGAATCCGAGTAGGGGACAAAACCTGCAAGAAAGAGATGAAACAGAAGGAAATTTTGTTTTGATTTGTTTTGTTTTAAATCAAAACCCTGAAAACAGAGACACAAGTTCTCAGTTGGGGATCGTAGCGCGGATGAGGTTACCAAAGGTATCTCTCAAATGACCCCAGAGTATGCCTCAAGACATATTAGAGAGAATAAAACTGGACTGATGTGGTGACCAAGGCAAGCAGGAGTAAAGCAGCCTGCAACCACTGTATAGGCTCTCAGCATGGCTCTGAACAGGGTAGCCTCCCTAAGTGACTTCTGAGGCCAAGACCCACAAAGCAATGCGTCCCTGATGCTCTGGAGCTGGCAGACAGCATCACCTCTCAAGGAGACACTGCAGGCCCAGAAGGCCTGACTCCCGCAGTGCGGGAAAGACCACAATGCAGAACTCTCCTTCTCATAGCTACCCTGGACCAGAGGTCCAGAGACAGACAAAATTACCAAATTCCATATAATTAAGATTTGCCTCAGGAATTGTGGGTCAGACGTGTCTGAAGTAATGCATTCAATATGTATTTAAAACATCCAGCATATTTCAGCATTCTAACTTAAACACTGAGAATATTGTATATAAACAATAAAACATTAAGTTCTACAGTCATATTTGCAATGAAAAGAGAAATAGGTAATAAATTGATTTGTGTCCAGCCTAGGTTCAGAAAAAAATGTTCCATGCTTGAATTTCTTTATAGATTCACACCATAAATGCTGCCAAGCATTATCCATAGATAAACTGAACCAGGTTGTACAAAAGAGACAGTGACAGCAATTTTTTTGCAGGTATAGAATGGGCTATATATGGACAGTGGCATAAAAGATATGTTTTTATGACATTCTCTTAAAAACTGAATGGCAGAAATGTATCCACTGACTCAGGAAATAAAAGAGGTCAGAAACAATATCCTTGGTGGTCTAATTCCTCGCTTCATCCTGAAAGGTGGATTTTATTTGTCTTCTCATTTTAAAATCCTGTAAATTAGCACTTTTAAATGCACAAACTTTAGGTTTGTGTGTGATTTCACACAAGATGAGGGGACAGAGTTTGCAAACTGTGCTGGGAAAAGAGCTATTTCAAACACAAAGAAGATGGCTTTAGGATGTTCCTCTTTTGTCAATGAAAAACAGTCACCAGAAATGGAAATGGGCTTGAACCATTGCAGGCTATCGTAGAGGCTCCTATTTCCTTCCGATATTCATCCAGTTGTATTGATGGCCTCTATCCACAGTCCGTTGAGCACTTCACAAAGCAAAAAGGGTCTAAGGCTTCAAAACAGTCCTATTTGTGTTGTTTTAATTCACATTACATAATAACAACACACTAATACTCCCTAACCTAATCCTATTTGTGTACGATCATCCTAAATTCTGGTTTCATAAAGCTTAATTGGTTCAAAAATATATTTTCTAAATAGAAACAAAATGTGTTACTAGAGAATTATAAAAGTAAGGGAACAAACACGTGATTAAGTCATCTGGTTACCAAGCGAAGTCCAGTGTGGTTATTGAGTCATAGTGTTTTTATCCTTTTAAAACTATTTAATTTCAATTTCTTAAAAAATAATCATCTAGTTTAATGTCCATTACAAAATTTTCTTGCTGTGAAATTCTGTGCTCAGCGGTTTTCCAGAAAAACAACCCAGGTGGACAATTAGCGAGCTTTGGTGCAAAGGACCATGGGAGTCCTTCGGCAATCACAACTTTCATCTAGTGGTCTGAAATGAGAGCTTCTCGGAATAATTTAGGAACAGCTTGACCCATTGAGATGCTCCTGGACAACCCTCTTGGGAAATAGTTTCTTTCCTTCCAGGGAACAAGATGCTAGCTCAGGGAACAGAGAGGTATCTGGTGTCAACAATGCCAGCGCGCCCTCTGCTGGGCCTCAAGAAACAGCACATGTGGTTACAGATGCCAGATGGTACGAGTTTCAATAAGCCCTTGAAACATTAAGCTCTTAGGATCATTTAATCTGTGGAATTTAAAGGCTCCCATCATATCCTCCGCCTGAAAGGCCACCCTATTTTTATTCTGAGAGCTCCTGGGATGGCTATCTTTTATGCTATAGGTACGAGAAGTCATGTTTGAAGTTGACCGCTGTTGGTTGCTTTCTGTATTCTTTTTGCAGTTCTTTTTACAGGAAAATATGAAATTGTAAATCTCAAGGAAAACAATCTTTCTCCTCCTAGGCATTTTAATATAAAATAATTTTCATCTTTGAGCCCATATCTGAAATTTAATAAAGGTAGTTATTTTTATTTAGAATAAAGATACCAGGAACAAGGTGTTTACTTAAAGAATTTCAAAACACAAATAAGGTCTTAGATAAAAAGCTATTGTGTTGGTTTGTATTAATATTAACTGCAATTTTCGAAGACTACACTTTGGAATAAGAAAGTAAGTTATGTTTGAGGAAGAGGCTGAAATGTTTGAGTCATGTTAATTAATATATCCAGAAGTTCACCTTTGAAATTTCCCTACTGAGTTAACATCAGTCCTCAGGTGGCAAAGATCCCAGAAACTAGACTACTGTGAGTAGAATCACGAAGAAAGCAGAAATGGAAGCACCATGTGCAAACTTCTGAATGTTTTCTGTGTTTTTCTGTATGGAACAATCTATTATAAAATGAAATGGAGGCTACTTCTAAAGCCTGTTTTTGATTCCACATCTTATTGGCCTTATATTGAGTAAAATAATGTATAGCTGTATTATCTCATAACTGTGAGTTAGAAATTCCAGCCTGTTGTACAACAGACACATCTTTGCTGTAAAAGCTGTTACTAACTACATCGGTGCTGATATAATAAAATGTTTCTAATTATATGGTTGTTAAATACGTCTTCTAAAATAAAGTTCAGTTTATTTTATGATGTCAGAATGAAATAGCTGTTTAATATCTTTCATTTCAACACTAGATTTTAAATGAAAGCTCATAAGACTATCATGATGAAATTTTAAGAAAAGCTATCTGGTGTTACAATTTGTTTTGGGGGGAACAACTCTTGATTAAATGTTAAACCAACTTAAATATTTAACCAAGTATGTCAAATTCCATATAGCATAGGTAAGTCTCTCTTCTGAAAGCTGCTTATTTGAAGCAAGCATTACCAATTTATAGGAGAGTAAATGAAGAAAAGAAAACTCTCACAATTTCTATAATTTTAGTCTAAGCATTAGAAATGTGAAATATTTTATTTTATATAATTTAAATTTCTTCCCAAATAAACTTATTTTTCCCAGAAAATAAGAAACATGGGTGTACTATATTTCTATATTCTTAATGGTTATTAGATTTGAAAGCAACTTCTAATAAAAGAAAATATAAAGTGCACATAAAACATCCCCCCCTTTTAAAAACCATTTACTAGAAAGGAGGAAATAAAGAAAGAAAATAGAAACAACTAAAATTGCTTCTCAGCAATTTTGTGTGTGATAGATTTTCCTCCAATCGATAGCACACACCACTATTCACCATTCAAATGTGTATGAATGTGCTTTTAATTTCTCTTTTATATTTGTATATCTGGATTGCATCCAAAACATCTTTACTTTCCTTGGAGATTTAGAGCCCAGGGAAAAAATGCACTTCTACAGAAATAATATTCTTCCAAATAGTGTATTTTGGAAATCACAAATACGACACTAACAACATACCATTAATGCCTCTATTAAATGATTTAATTGCAATAGCCATGCAATCTCATAGTTGAAATTAACATAGACTTTAATACATGAGGGCCACACAAACACATATCCCTATTTATGGGCTTCAGATAAGAAATCAAATTTAATTAGCACCCTCTGTATCTTTTTTCCAGTATTCAAACTCTGCTGTTGGTGCAATTTCTATCAGTTGTTGTGAAGAACAGTTCTGACACAGAAATATGGCAGGATAGGAATTAAAAATATAATGCTTAAAGGAGGAATAATATAGGGGCAGAAATCTGAAATTTATTAGTGTAAAATATCAAATCCATGATTATAAACTGCAGAGAAAATATTCATATTGAAGAATAATGTTAGAAGTTGAAAGAATAATGTTAGAAGTTGCCACACATGGCAAGTAGATGACAATGCAAAGGGAAAACAAGGTACATGAGAATCAGTATCACTGCAATTCACGGGAGAAGAACAGATGCCTGGTTTCAGTTTTGCTTTAGTACACTAGTAGAAGACACCATTTAGATGCAGGAAAACCTCAGGACAACTAGATTGTACAAAAGGGTGTTTACTTATTGGAAATGCTGCAATTTTGATCTTCTTTAAAGAAAGTTAGGGAATATATTTGGGGAATGGAGTTAGCAAATTATTTATTCATTATCCATCTTCTATGAATTCTAAAGGCAAATTCATGTCTTTATTTCCTGGTTATTAGTCAATGCCAATTTAGTTCTAAAAAGATTACTCTAAATGGAACTCTCTGCATAGCATAAATTTTAGAATTGGTTAAATGATAGCATGTTGAATAAAAATATTTTCCTCTTGACAATGAGTTTGCATTTTAATATCAGAGATTCATTAAAAATGAAACTTAGTTTGGCAAATCATCCTTTACAACTCTCCATGTTCTGAGTCACACTACAGTTAGGAATACAGGGTATTAATTTAAATTCAATCTCAGTGCTTTCTTCATTGAAGTTCAGGATGCTGTGTTCGTGTGAGGAGTGATGGAGTGATAAGAATGGAGAATCTAGCTCAAGGTCAATTAAAAGGAAGTTTGTGCTGTTAGAGTAGAGAAAGTCATTCTCTTATAAAAACCATGCCCTGTCCTTTTTTTTGTTGGCTCAGAACTTTTTTCCCCCCTGATATCCTGGGTCTGTCTTGAGCCTCATCTGTTCCTCAGAACCAAGTTATTCCTGCTGTGTTAATTACCCTGATAGTAATAGGTACGGATGAGTTGCAGAAACTTCAAAAATACAGTCTTCAATATATGACTCTTACAAGTTAGTATATTTAAATGATATGAATTTCTATTCTACAAAAGGGTTATTTATTTCTCTGTTCGTTGATTCTAAAGATTGAACCTAAGACATTTTTGTACGTGCCAAGCAAGTATTCTACCACTGAGATATATAAACAGACCTACAAAAAGGTTATTTTTACCTAGATGTTCCATTCAGGAAACACAAGTATTTATAAATGTCTGCTAAGCCTCAGGAAGTTGTTCAAGGTGGATAAGGGAAGGAAGGTTGTAATTTGTACCTATAGAACTATCTATGCTATAACTGATCGTTTAGCACTTCAACGATGGTTATAGGGAAACGATTTTGTCTTTAGATGCAGCTGGAATCTACCCCTTTTTCAGTTATCGTACCAGATAACCTATATGATGAAATTGAATAAGGCAAGAGTATTCTTAATAAAGAATCATTGAAAATGCCTAGTAAAATGACAGGTTATTCATTCTACTCCAGCTGTTGTTATTGTAATACCTTTATGCAGTAATACACATTTTCTAAATCCATAAATGCCCGTTCCCATGTGAATAAAATTGTTCTGCACTAGCCTGCTTCTGCATACACTTATCTCAGTTGTTAACCATACCTAGTAAAGTAAGTGATTATAACAGTAGCCTTGAACATACAAATCAGTCTTAGACATAAAGAACAATTATAAACACAGAACTTGAACTTAGTTTCATTTTAATGTCTCCATCTTGCCATACTTAACACTTCCCTAAGATTTCTAGAAATAAAACACAGGTCTGATCATTCCTTCAAGGGGTGTTTACTTGCTTGTGACAGGTCTCATGTCAAATGTGGGACCTTCCTAAGAAAACAGAATGGACATGACTTCTATTGTGATGCAGCTGACAGACTTTCTTAGCATTATCCCTTCCACTCCCATGAACAATCTAATGTTTCTTTGATTTAAATCCTTTCCTTTAAGTGACCTGCATTAGCCACAGGAAGGAATATTTTCATGGTAAAGAAAGATTATGTGCTGGAGAATGAACAAAACTAATGCACCTACATTTTATTGTGATCCCTCTTTCCTTACTCCTGTTTTCAGTAACACTGAATGCTTTTGCTGTTACATTCACAGCCAAAGAAACAGCTGATGTTGGCTGTGTAATATTAACTTCTATCTCAGCTGTGGCTTACAGTCACGCTTCACTTATTATTAGTTTTTGTACTTATTCATCATACACATTTGCTTTCCTTTTTGAGGTAGATTTTTGCCTTCCTGATAATGTTCCCATTAAAGTGTCAATCCAAACTCAGTTCTTTGGATTTATTTCAAGTCACTCTATTTTCATTTAATTTTGGGGGGTGCATGTGTGATATATGCATGTATGTACAGGTATGCATACTTGTGCATGTTGTACATGTGGAAGCCAGAGGTCCATGTCAGCTGTTTTACTGTATTGTCCTCCATCTCACTTTTTAAGATCACTCATAGCTCACTGATTGCATAGAATGGCTGGCCAGGGAGCATAGGGATTTTCCTGTTTCTACCTTCCAGTGTTGAGATTATAAGTGCAGAGTCACATCCAACTTCTTACATATGTGTTGGAGAACTAAACTCAGGTCCTTATATTTTCAAAGCAAGCACTTCACCCACTAGATCATCTCTCTGGACTCTATCTCTGCTTTATTTTAATGAGCCACTTCATCAATTGTCAAAGTTCCCTTTATTTTACATGTATTTACATTATATTTTTTCACGTTTGGGGGGTTTCTTTGAGACAGGGTTTCTCTGTGGCTTTGGAGGCTGTCCTAGAAATAGATCTTGCAATCCAGGCTGGTCTCGAACTCATAGAGATCCACCTGCCTCTGCCTCCCGAGCTCTGGGATTAAAGGAAAAAATTTGCCACCAAAGCCCTGCATTTTTTCACCTTTTAATTATAATAAAACAGAAACAAAAAAGCAGTGGTTAAAGGCCAAAAGTAGGTAACAATACCTTCATCGTATGCATATTGTTAGACTCGAGTACTTCTACCCTGGCCAAGGAGAATGCTGACCTTTCTTCCCTTCCCTTTCATACAAAACTACATTTGTTTTTGACAGGACATATAATTGTAACTGAATTGCACCAATTAAAACATCAATTGATTTATTGAAATAACTAGCAAATTTGTTAAAAAAATGTAATTTAGTTACCAAATTGTACATAACTAGACCAACATTTCCATGATTACATTATTTCAATGTTCAAAATAGACGTCAAATAATCACTCAAAAGCCCATCCCAAAATAGTCTTCCAGATGTCATTTTCAACCCGTGTAAGGTTTATCATTACCTTCAAATTTTTTAAAAGCTCTAGTAAGTATGATCATTTATTTCCCTCCTATTGTTGTTTAACTGTTAGCCACCATCTTAGTTAAGTTCTGTGAAAATGACCACAGATCACTGTTAGATTTTCCAAGACGATGGCAGTTGCCATGTGTATCAATGAAATAAAGCATGTTTCCCTGTGGTGATATATTATTTATGATTTATTAAAGCTTGCTTGAGGATTCAGTAAGCAAAGTCAGCCACAAGCTATAGAGATCAGGCAGAAGTCATACACATCTTTAATCTCAGCAGCCATAGAGATAGGCAGTGGTGGTATACACCTTTAATCCCAGGACTCAGGATTAAGAGGTAGACATCTCTGTTAGTTCAAGGCCTCACTGGCTACATGAAATTGATCGAGTCCTAAAAGAAACAACTCACACAAAGGTGATCTCAGCACCAGGGATCACACACCTTTAATCCCGGCACTAGTGGAGTAAAGACAGGAGTCATATGGTTGGACAGAGAAAGGAGTAAAAGGACCAGGAGACAGGAACTGAGAGCATTTTGCCTCTTAGGATTCATGGGGACAGGATTGCCATTTCAGCTGGGTAGAGGTGAGATCTACTGACTTGGCAGCTTTGTTTCTCTAATTTTCAGCTTGAAGCTTGAACTCCAACATCTGTCTCTAGGTCTTTTATTTATCATGCACCTTTCCCATAAGTACTCATCATTTAATTAATTAAGTGCCATGAAGATAAGAACTTCTTCTTCTTTAAATTTGTGCTGCAATACAGTACTCTTTGTAAATAAGGTGTTGACCCTGGAATTGGGAGTTCTGTATTTTAAACTGAACTACGACTTTCATCAGTTGAATAATTTTGATTACTCTCTTTTCTTCTGAATTTTAATTCTGTGTTAACTTGATTGCCAGCTCTGTAGAAGATACAGTAAAAATTAGAGCCAGTTTAAACTTTGGGTTTTGAGGAACATTCTTGACAAATCCGTTTAGCAGTTCTGAGACCACTTAAAATAAGCATGACAATTGATTTGAGAAATTTCAGGTCAAAGTCCAAGCACCCTTTTGGCTTTATAAAGTAGTGGAAATTAATGACTCTAGGATAATAAATTTATCACTTGATAAACACACCTGAAAGAATGTATATTTTGAGCAAGTCTTCATCTTGACATGAAGGATGTATCAGACTTTTTTTGAAAGCAAATGGCAATTTGGGGGTAAAAAGTGCATCAGGAAAAATGGCCATGCAAGAGAAAATAGTGAAGGAATGAGCAAACTGGGCTAGCTCTTAAATTCTGCAGTCATTCTGAGCTCTAATAAAAATGAGGCAAGGAGGGGGACATGCAAGGGTCTTACACAAGTATACAGTCCAGAAGACTTATGGCAATGTCATTAAGAAGTGTTTGAGCCCAAGTTAGCTGTCAAAGAAGGCTGTGGTCTTTTGAGAGCATTCCACTTTATCACCCCTACAAAAGATGACTGCAGATTTAGGGAATGTTTGTGGGAATAAGGGTCTCTGAATGAACACAAAGATGGATTTTGGAATATAGGTGATGTATAGTCAATTGGATTTCCTGACAATGGTGGTCCACATGCAATATCCAGCATACAGGATACTACAGGAAGGAAAGTCATTGCTAATATCTAGGTCAGTTACTAGGCAATTTTCCAATATTCATCAATCATCACAAAACTAGTTTTTACATGAATGGGATCACCAAATCAATGAAAGAGATAGAAAACTGAACAAGTATAGAATGATTTGCTTTTCTCTCCAAATGAATTAGGGATGGATAATGAACTATAATGAACTCAACATTCATAGGTTGGAAACAACAATTATTGTTATCTTGCTCATACCACATACTCAATGGATTGAGAAGGGTCTGATAGATGAAATCATCTGCATAATACTAGTTAAGTGAGGCTTCATTATCCATAGGATCTCCTATACTTAGAAACTAAGACAGCAAATGCTTTGACCCAAGAGACATACACATTACTTTCCTTCTGATTGTATTGGTTAAAATTAGTTACAATGGGACTGGCATAAATCAGAATCGTGTGTTGATCTGAAAGTCGACAGACGTTGATGAAAGGTGATTTTACCAAAAGGAGACTTCTTGCAAGCATTTTCACTGCGTTATATTGAGGCTGCCTGTCTCACCTCAGAGGGTGATGGGATTTGAGATTCTTATGTGACTGAAATAGAACCTGATTTCATGTGCTTTTTGCATATTTTGAAGGCAGTGAATTGTGGCAGACAGGGCTTAAACAAAGGATCATGAAATCCCTTTAGGATAAAAATAGGCTTCCTCTGAATGTCTGTGTGATTTTAAAACTCCACTGACCTTTCTGAGTCCCCATTTTCTCATTTGAAAACTAATAGAATAGAATTAGATACCCAAGATACATACTAGAAAGGAATCAATTCTAATACCAGCTACATTAATAACAATAGAACTACACTAGGTGTGGCATATACAGTAAACTGCTGAGGGAAGTTCATGTCTACTTCTGATGAAGGAACTTGAGACTGCAGTTTAAGACGGGATTCTGGGGTTTAGTGGTTTCTCTCAAGATGCTCCTAGCTATTTTGAGAATAGACGTGTTCTTGAGATACCTAAGGGAGTGTGCCCAGCACACACATGCTACAGAATCATCCTTTATATGTTTTATTCTGAGACATTCTCCCCACCTCCTTACTCCTTCAAGGGGTCTAACAGGATAAAAAAACACAGCATAAGCAACATACTAATTTCCTCTTGGATGCTACCCATACACGCCCATATTCCAGTTCTCTGGAATTACTCTCAAAATAAACTACATGCCTATCAAAACCTTCCTCTTAGTGCTTCCTGAAGGACATCTACACTAAGATATCAGCAAAAATGTCTGCTAAATAAGAAAGGATAGTATCCAAGAGTGAAGGGGTTATAATCATTCAGTGTAGAATAATTTCCTAGGTCTCAAAAGTTATAAAAGTCTAGGAACAGAGATATACAATTATAATACCAGAATTAGGGACCCAGAGACAGGAAGATAATTTCAAATTCAAGATAAGCCTAGTCTACCTAGTAAGTTCCATCTGACCATCCCAGAAGCTATGTAGTAAGACTGACTCAAAATGAAAGTTAGAAAGAGCTCTTCCTAAGGATATCACTCATTCATCCTCACTCATTCAATGCATTATATTCATCCAAGTCAAGGTAAGGAGATGATTTTATGCAAATATGAAAAATCCAAGACAACCAGTGGTGGCCAATTATAAAGACTCCCACAAACAGCAAAGGTGTGCTTGATTCTTTTTCCAAATCTGTGATTGTATTGAAAGAGATGGAAAAAATCCCTGGAGGGTGTCTAGATTCCCACAGTTCTGCAGTGAGCTCAGTACTCTCCATCAATAATTTGATAGCCTCCGACATGCATACATGAGGAAAAGAATAAACAGTAGCGGTCTCTATAGTTAGTGAATAAAGAAATGCATGCTAGATATATAGTGTGTGGGTTTATTAGACAGAGAAAGAAACAATACTCCTAAAGTAGAGCATATGCTTCCTGGTGTTTTCTGAACAAGCCAGGCAACCACAGACACAGAAGCTATGGCGGTGCTGCCTCTGCAACATACCTGACTGCATGCTGCTGATAATACTGCAGCAGAGAGTGACAGTGAGGACATCCAAGCCACAGTAAGAAATCACAGAAAAGCTGAAGTGGGTTTAGATGGGAGACAAAAAGACTCATCACCTGGAAAAGGCTGAGAAGGGGAAAGAAATCCAACACTGACTCTAAATGCATTAGCCTTCATTTAAATAGACATACAGGAAATTTAACAGATAATTTTGCTCTAGCTGGGGAAGCATTCTTAATAATGCATTTATTTAATTCAGCAAGAATGTGTTCTTCAGCTGACCGGAGCTAGTGGGAGTTCACAGACTCTGGACTGATATCTGGGAGCCTGCATGGTACTGGACTATGCCCTTTGAATGTGGTTGACAGCTGTGTGGCTTGGTATGTTTGTGGGATCCCTGGCAGTGGGACCAGGATTTATCCCTGGTATGGTGCATGAACTGGCTTTTTGGAGACCATTCCCTGTGGTGGGATATCTTGCTCAGCCTTGATGCAGGGAAAGGAACTTGGTCCTGCTTCAACTCACTATGCCAGGATTAGTTGACTCCACATGAGAGGCCTTACCCTCTCTGAGGAGTGGATGGGGGAGTTTGGAAGTGGGGTGAAGGAGGAGGGGAGGGTGGGAGAACTATAGTTGGTTTGTCAAATGAATAAAAATTTAAAATAAATAAAAAAGAGAATGTGTTCTTAGTAATACAGATAATAATTAGCAGATTTAAGATGAAGTGGATGTTATTCAAATGGTATATATCCTTTGGCATTTAATATAAAATTAATTATAAAACATTATCAATACTAGATAAAACAATGCTTGTGTATATATGACAAACTTTGATAATGTCTGTCTAGATTAAAGAGAAGGATGTCTTAGCCTCTGTTTTAAGAACTTAATACACAGTTATTTCTGATGGAGTGGGTATTTTGCTTAAAATTTTTAGCAGTTGCTCAAAATGAGTCAATGCAATGTGGAAAAGCTGAACCGAAGAATGGGGTTTCTTGAGAATGACATTGGAGCTATTCAAGGATCACTGCTCCTATCACATACAACAGCAGGAAAACAGTAATCCACACCCCAAATATTGCAGTATTTTAATTATCTTTCCTGTTATTAACTTTTCTATTTTG